TTTTTTTTTGAGGTAGGGTTTCACGTAGTTCAGGCCCACATAGTTCAGGCTGGCCTCAGCCTTGATATGTTGTAGAGGGTAACTTTCAACTTTGATCTTCCACCTCCCGAATGCTGGGACTGAAAACATGAACCATTATATCTGACTAGATGAACAGATCGATTTTTTTAAAAAAAATTTTATCTTATAACTGCAGGTGGCTTCTGGATAATGTGTCAAAATAGTCATACCTATTAATTTAGCCTTTGGCTTCAAAATACTGTCATGACATCATTGCTTGGTAGCTCACCATTCTTTCTCACATATGTTAAATTTTTGTTCTCATAACACATCTCTAAAATCCAGTACAGGTTTTCCCATGAGTTGATAAAGCAGAAACCTGATAAGGCTGTTTTTTTTTTTCCAGGAAAAAACTTTTTAAAACTTGATAAAATACATGATACTGGGTATAGATGTGAAAATATTCATTTTATTGTTCTGAATTCTCTACCCTTATGACAGAGGCCCATGGTAAAAAAAACAAAACAAAACAAAAAAAACACACGAGTATGGGCGCTTCCGCCATCTTTCCAGCTTCAGTTGGACGGACTCTTCTGGAAGGATCGCAGCAATGGCCGCCCAGGGAGACCGGCAGGTCCAGTTCAAACTCGTCCTGGTGGGCAACGGCGGCACCGGGAAGACGATGATCCTGAAGCGCCATTTGACCGGCGAGTTTGAGAAGAAGTATGTAGCCACCCAGGGCGTGGAGGTGCACCCACTTGTCTTCCATACCAACAGAGGACCCATCAAGTTCAACGTGTGGGACACAGCCGGCCAGGAGAAGTTCGGGGGCCTGCGTGATGGCTACTACATCCAAGCCCAGTGCGCCATTATAATCTTTGACGTAACATCAATAGTTTCTTACAAGAACGTACCGAACTGGCATAGAGATCTGGTACGCGTGTGTGAAAACATTCCCATTGTATTGTGTGGCAACAAAGTGGATATTAAAGACAGGGAAGTGAAGGCAAAATCTATTGTCTTCCACCGAAAGAAGAATCTTCAGTACTATGACATTTCTGCCAAACGTAACTACAACATTGAAAAGCCTTTCCTGTGGCTTGCCAGAAAGCTCATCAGAGAGCCTAACTTGGAGTTTGTTCCCATGCCTGCTCTTGCCCCACCTGTGGTCATGGTCCCAGCTTTGGCAGCACAGTACCAGCACGATTTAGAGGTTGCTCAGACAACTGCTCTCCCGGATGAGGATGATGACCTGTAAGAAAGTTGAAGCTGGAACCCTGGATCAGAAGTCTAGTTTTATGGGAACTGTCCTGTATATCAGCGGGGCAGCGCGTGTGCCGCCTTATTTAGCTAAGCAGATCGAGTACTTCCTTGGGATGCTGAAGGAGAAGAACAGGCTTCAGAGTGAATGTGGCAGTTATACATACCTTCATTTTTTTTTGGAATTGCATATTTAGCTGTTTGGAGCAGAGTTGTTTCCTTCCTGGATTTCAAAGATAGACTGCTGTAGTTACATCAGAGTATTCAGTGGTGAAATCTTGTTTGTTACTGACATTCCTGTTCTTTTCGTTTAGAATCAGAATAAAATTGTATTTTAAATAATCTTAAAACAAAAACAAACAAACAAACAAACAAACACGAGTATGCTTACAGTGTTATTCATCCTGGGAGAATTTGCTTTGCTAACCTGGTTTGCTTCCATGTTGATAGCAGACTGAGAAATCACCAAGTTAGTGGCTGCTGAATTACCTGCAGGATTACCTGCCCAGTAGGACGTACACCTGAGCTGAGCTGCATCTTACATCTAGTGTATTTTGAAGGTCTCTCTCTCTCTCTCTCTTTTTAAAAGACTTCCTTATTTAATGTAAATGTGTGCTTTGTCTGCATGTCTGTCTGACACACACCAGAAGACAGCATCCAATCCCGTTATAGACAGTTGCAGCAGCCATGAGGGTGCTGGGAATTGAGCTCAGGACCCCTGAAAGAACAACAGCCAGTGTTCTTAACTGCTGAGCTATCGCTCCAGCTTCTCCTAGGTAGTTAGTTGCAGGCCAGCTAATACTCAACTAGCTTTATTGTACAGGTCAGGATTACCTGCCCGGGGATGGTAGCACTTTCAATGTGCTGGGCCTTCCTATACCAGCTAACAACCAAGATAATCTCCCATCAACGTGTCATGGGACAATTTGATCCAGGCAGTTTCTCAACTGAGGCTCTCAGATGACTCTAGAAGGTTGTGTCAAGATGACAGTTAAATCCAACTGGGACAATTATCCTTTAAAATGAAATGAAGTATTTATTTACACACATTTATTTATTTGTGTGTGTGTGTGTATGTGTGTGTATGTATGTGTGTGTGTGTATGTGTGTGTGTATGTATGTATGTTTCTGCTGTGGCATGTGTGAGGGTCAGAGGACATCTTTCAAGACTTGGATTTCTCGTTCTGCCTTTGAATCTCAGGGATCAAACCCAGTGACTGCCTTTACGTACCATGCCATCTCCTTAATCCTATAATAATTTAAAAAATGCAATCCTTAATTTGTCTGATATGGATTATGAGTACATTTTCTGTGGATCACTTTATTTAACATGATTTTTTTAGATGATTATCTTTTCTTAAACATACCCAACCTTTTACCCCTCAATTTTTATTGGAATAAAAAAAAAACCCAAACCACTGTATTCTCTATTTTAAAAAATACTTTATTGTATCTTATTTGTTTTTAAAGACAGAGCATCTCTATGTAACCCCAGCTGTTCTGGAACTCACTGTGTAGACCAGGCTGGCCTCAAACTCACACAGACCTAACTGTTGGGATTAAAAGTGTGCATTACTATACCCAGCAAGACCACTACACTCTTAAGCAGAGAAAAATAGACCTTTAGGGGGGTGATAACCCCCAGTCACTGCTTATGATCCGGTCTCCTGAAATAGTGATGGCCCCTGCTGATCAAGGGCTTTCCTTCTTCTGTGGCTCTGCTGCTTCCTCCAGGAGCCCTCGCCTCGCTGGCCAGCCAGTGTGCTGCATATGCTGGGTGTGTCCTCTCTTTGGACTCACTGTCTCCTTAAGGGCCCAGGCTTGGCCTTGGATTCTCCAGACCTGTGAGCATAGTCAGCTCTGTGGCAGCAGGGTCTGCTGTTCAGAAACTTTATCATTGACTTCCAGGCCTTTAGTTGGCCTCCTATTTTTGATCTTGGTAAAACCTGCTTGGGAAGAACTAATAAATTCCTCCCACCTCCTGCCTAGCTCACTATTCTGAGCTTCAAAATCAACTTACAGAATCCAAAACAACACCTCTTCCACTACTGCTCATATTCTGGTAGATCATGGCCCTAATGCCTGTTCTCTCACACACAAAAGTGGCATCTTCACGACAGTTCTCAAGTTGTTTCCAGTCTCCAGATGAGGGAAAGGACGGTGAGTGACTTTCCTGGAAACATGAAGCTGGCAAATGGGGAAGTCGAGCACCTAACACAGGCAGCGTGACGACAGCGTGATGGCAGAGTCTACACTCTCACCGTAATACCATAGCCCTGACTGCTAGTCAGCCTCGAGTATGAATACCTGCAGGAATTCATTCAAACATGTGGAGAAAGTGGCTGGTCACTCTGACTTGTTTCTGCCACTCCAGGCACAACAGTCTTCCTGAATACTTAGGGTCCCTGCCAGCGTTATCTGCTTTCAAATTCTTCTGCTCCTCCAATCTGCACTACCATCTTTTAACAAAGGCGATCAAACATTTTCTAGTGGCAGGCATCATTCTCGGCATTTTACAAATATCTCTAATTCCTATGATATTATTGTCCCCACTTAAGGCCAGAAGGCTCAAATACACTGAGTGGTTTGTTCAAATCACACAGTGATTAGCAGAACCCACTTTCATCCCTGCAAAGGCTCAAGGACAAAGGCCTCCATCATCCTCCATTCGCCTAGAGGAGACACGCCAACAGGCCCACTGGCAGGCTAGGTGCCATGCTATCGGCCTAAGCTTATCTCCTGCTGGGCTTCAGCTTGACTCCTCTGTTCCAGACTGGCATGTCTGTGCCCTCTCCCCCAACCCCCGGGCTTGCTCCCAACAACCACACTTCCATCCATTGTTCCTGTGACCTAGAATGTCCTGTTTTCTCTTTATGACTCCTTGGATCCCCTGACAGTACAGGATAGCTCTTCCATCTCATACAAACGCTTAGCACTCCCCGGCCTCCATCTGTTTTCAGTTCAGTTGCTCACCCAGCTCCTGGGCCATGGCTCACTCACATCCGTCCTGAAGTCACTGGACTCAGTCACGTATTTGACACGATGAGCTGACAAGAGTGTGCTCACCCCGATTGCATCTCAGTTGATATCTATGTCAGAGCCAACCCCAGAGAATTTTCCCTTGGCCAGTTACGTCACGACCTGGAGCAAACCAGTTTGCCTTGGACAAAATGAAAAGTAGGTAAATTTACTATAAGTGCCTTCATATAGAACACCTCTCCACACAGGTTCTTGCCACATGTAGAAGGCAAGCAAGCATACACATTCTGTGTTCTTTCTTCTCTTTCCGTTATGGAAAGAACAACAGATATAATGCCATGTATCAGATACTTTTCTAAATATGTCACAAATATCAGCTACCTTAGTCTTTCCTATAACCATCTGAGGTTAGCACTGTCACCCCCCTCCCTTTCAGGGGTGACGTGGTTAAGTCACAAACTAGCTAGGGAGCTTGTTTAAGGTCACTATATACTGCCTTGCCAATAAACTGAAACATGTTTTCCTTATAGTAAAAGTAAGGCTTCCTGTTTAAAACAATTTAGAAGGATAAGGGGCCAGAGAGATGGCTCATCATTTATGAGCACTGACTGCTGTTACAGAGGACCTGGGTTTGATTTCCAGCATCAAAATGGTGGCTCACAACCATGAGTAACTTCAGTTCCAGGGGATCAATGCTCTCTTGTAACCTCCTTGGGCCCTTTCCTACGTCTCATCGTGCACAACCATATATGCAAGTAAAACATCCAAATACATACATATAAAAATAAATAAATAAATAAATAAATAAATAAATAAATAAATAGATATTCTTTTAAAAAAGAATAAGAAAAGATCAGCAGGGCTTTGGGTCCAGCCAAGTGATGGTATGTACCCAACACACACAGGAGGCCCTGTGTCCATCCTTGTAATTCCACAGCAAACCAACCAACCAGATGACAAAATAGGAGACTGATGGCCATGATCCTGTTATTTACAGATTATTCAGATAATTCACCCTGTTGATATAGCTATTGATATTTTGAAAAATTAAATCATCATGTATAGCAGGAGTGTTTTCTTTTAATTCAAAATTCCAAACTGCTGCCTGGAGGTAGAATATGTTGTATACCTATCAGAAAATTCACCTGTTTTAATTACACTCTAATTTTAGTAAGTTTGCAGAGGTCTAAAGTCCTTTTAGACCATTGTCTTATTTCATAAAAGTACTTTATACCTCTTTACACTCACTCTCGGTTCCTACCCAGAATCCTTAGTTATTGCTAGTCTCTTTTTTCCTGTGTCAATTTACTCCTCTGAACATTTCATATAAATAAGTGGTATGTAAAATCTGGTCTCTTTTACTCCTAATGACGTGTTGAGGGGTTGATACATGTGTATGGTTGTGTTCACATGAGTTGATGTACATGTGTGGGCACACATGTGGAAGCCCCAGGTTGGCATTGGGGGTCTTCCTCAGTCTCTCTCTACCTTACATATCGAGGCGGGGTCTTTCAAATCAACCCTGCTCCCTTGTTCAGCTTGTCTAGGTAGCCAACTTGTTTCTGGGAACTTGTCTCTGCCCGTCGGGAGCCGAGGGTTTGGATGAGCCGTCATGCTTGCTTGGCATTCACATGGGTGTTGGGACTCGAACTCCCATCCTCACACTTGTGCTGCAAGGACTTTCTCCACTGGACCATCTCCCCAGTCCCACAGGGATGTTCTTAGGGTCTGCCCATGCTGGAAGATTTGTCATTATGTTACTCCCTTTGATTGTAAATTAATATTTCATATAGATACAGCACATTTTGTCTACAGATCATCTGAATTGTTTCAAATGAATAACACTGCTATGAATTTTTGTTTTTTGTTTTTTGTTTTTTTTTTGGTTTTTCGAGACAGGGTTTCTCTGTGTAGCCCGGGCTGTCCTGGAACTCACTCTGTAGACCAGGCTGGCCTCGAACTCAGAAATCCACCTGG